GGGTTTAGGGTTTAGGGTTTAGGGTTGCCTTGAGAATGATGAGAATGGGCCTGAAGTCGAGGTCGGAGATAATGGCCCAAAGCTTCCGCGGCAGCTCTTTGGGCAAAATGTGAAGAGGGTCTAGAAGTCCTCGAAGATCATTTAAATCTAATTCTAATTCTCCATTTTGTTTCCTTGCCAATTTGCTGCTACTGCTGCTGCCAGACCTTCCTGCTGCTGCTGCTGCTGCTGCTGCTGCCGGCTCCGCACGCACCGTGTTCTCCCCTGCACACGCAGCACACACACACCCATCAATCCAGCAGCAGCAGCAGCAGCAGCAGCAGGACTCGCAGCAGCAGATGCAAAAGCAGCAGCACTAAGACGTTTCTGTCAGGAGCAGCAACAGCAACAGCAGCAGCAGCAGCACCAGCGGCAGCAGCAGCAGCAGTGCCAGCGCATGCTGCGCTTCTGGGCAGCCGCCGCAGCAGCAACAGCAGCCGCAGCAGCAGCAACAGCAGCCGCAGCAGCAACAGCAGCAGCAGCAGCAGCAGCAGCAGGTACCTTGCTGCAGAATTTCCTGGCGAATCTGCTGCGTAGGGAGGTTTGCTGCTGCTGGCTCTTCGGGCAGCAGCAGCACGCGGGAAAGTGCATGCACTCGGGGCCCCGGTGCTGCATCATCTGCTGCTAGAAGGGCCCCCCACGAGGGGGCCCCCGTTTCTTCATCTGAAGCAAATAAATAAATAAATAAATAAATATTAATTAATTAATTAATTAATTTAACTTGTAAATTTTAATCAGAAGTTCTGCAGAAGGAGACGGGCGGAAAAAGAATGCATCAAAAGGGTTTTGAGGTGCAGCGGGAATAGCGAGGTGTGAGGAAAGAGACCCTTAAACCCTAAACCCTAAACCCTAAACCCTGGATTCTAAGCCACCTCCGGAACAGACAAGAAGAGGCATAAGAGGGAAATTGAAAAAAATGAAAAGAATTAAACAAAAGAAAATAAAAAGGAAAAAATTAAAAAATAAATATAAAAAAGATAGAAAACGACAAAATGATGCAGAGCCAAAAGGATATAAAAAGGAGACAAAAGAGAAAAACAGAAAAAATTAAAAAATGGAAAAAAGGAAAAAGACAAAGCCGAGGAAAGAAAAGAAAAACAAAAAGAAGAAAAATAGAAAGACGAAAAAGGAAAAAAACAAAAAAACGAGAAATAAAAAAGAGTAAGAAAAGGAAACAGAAAAAGGAAAAAAAGAAAAAAAGAAAAATAAAATTAAAAAATTCAAAAATAAAAGTTCACCTGAAAGAGACAATTCGCTTTCGGAAGAATTATCTCCTCCGACTTTAATTTCTTTTAATTTCACTTTTTGGTTTTGCGTCTTCTCAATCCCAGTCAGAAAAACCCGCAGCTGCAACAAACCCTAAACCCTAAACCCTAAATCCTGAACCCTAAACCCTAAACCCTAAACCCTAAACCCTACCCCTCCACGTCCTGGCCCTCCCCGACCCCTGAAACCATCCTCCAGACCCCTCTAAAGAAAGCCCGACCCCGCCCTTAACCCTGGCCCCCAACCCCCAAACCCTAAACCCTAAACCCTAAACCCTAAACCCTCACGAGATCATCATCAGCCACCCGCTCTGCAGTCAACTCCGGCAAAGAAAAGGCTGCAGTCGAAACCCTAAATTGGCCTTCAATGAAAAGCTTTTCCGTGGCCCAAGGGGGGAGGGTTTCGCGGCCAACTTCTATGCGCACTGCGCCCCCAAACAGGTCTGCCGCCTGCCCGCAAACCCTAAACCCTAAACCCTAAACTCTAAACCCTAAACCCTAAACCCTAAACCCTAAAGCTCAGGCCCAAGAGCCCGCTGTTTAGAGGAGTTCATCATGAGCAGGAAAAATTGAGTAAAAATGCGAACATGCCACCTCGGGGGTCGTCAGGCGCCGTTCGAACGCTAGGGTTTAGGGTTTAGGGTTTAGGGTTTAGGGTTTGGGACGCCTCACAAGCAAATCATGGCGGTGGTGGTACGTCAGGTAGTCGGAAGGACACAAGGCAAGCTGTAAATGAGAAAAAAAGGCCTGAAGAAACAAACGCCAAACCCTAAACCCTAAACCCTAAACCCTAAACCCTAACCGCTAAGCCCTAAACCCTAAACCCTAACCGCTGAGCGCTAGCTAGGCCTAGCACCACCCGCTGGCAGCCCGGACTGAGCAGCCCTAAGGGCCTAAGGTTTAGGGTTTAGGGTTTAGGGTTTACCTCCATCCACTCTATAATGAGACACTCAGTCAGCAATTCCCTCTTCAGCGCCTGGAGGAAGCCGACTTGTTTTTGTTTGATAATTTGCAGCTGCTTCATCAGTGCCCTGTGAAGCCAAACCCTAAAAAAGGGTTTAGGGTTTAGGGTTCAACTGCTGGGCCTGGCCCGCCACGGCTCCCGCCAGCAAAGCGCAGCGCTAGAACCTAGCACCTAGGGACCAGGGGCTTAGCGACCCAGGGTTTAGCCATCTAGCCCTTAGGGTTTAGGGTTTAGGGTTTAGGGTTTAGGGTTTAGGGTACTTGTTGGAGTCATCAATTTTTCGGTGCACAGATGCAAAGTTTGCATGCAGCCGCGCCAGCAGCTGGTGGTTTTCTTGAAGGTCTTTTACAATTTTTTCTCTGCGGATGCTGAGGGCTTCTTCGCTCTAAGCCGCAAACCCTAAACCCTAAACCCTAAACCCTAAACCCTAAGCCCTGCGCTCTGGGTTCTGGCCAGAACGCAAGGCGCGGCCGCTGCAAGGCTTGTGCAAGCAGCAGATTAAACAGTGAAGAGCTAGAAGTCGCAACCAGGGTTTAGGGTTTGGAGTTTGTAGCTTAGGGTTTAGGGTTTAGGGTTTAGGGTTTAGGGTTTAGGGTTTACCGGCGAGGTGCCCTGCATGCTCATTTTGTAGGCGTCTAGAGTTGAAATCAGGGGATGTTCGGAGAAGTCTGAAAGAAAACCGCTAAACCCTAAACCCTAAACCCTAAACCCTAAACCCTAGACCCCAATCCTTGGACTTTGAACCCTAAACCCTAAACCGTAAACCCTTGACAGGAAATCTTCAGCGCTATACCCTAAACCCTAAACCCTGGGGCACATACCATGAAGCGCAGCTCTCATCCCTCCCCTAAACCCTAAACCTCACATTTAAAAACCCAGACCCTGAAGAAAGAACTCTAAACCGTAAACCCTAAACCCTAAACCCTAAACCCTTTTCTGGCAAAGCTCTATTCTCACCTGCGGCCGAGTGATGCCCTATGAGAATGCAGTGAGGGCAAAGGGCCAAGAAACACTGCGCCACAACAAACCCAAACCCTAAACCCTAAACCCTAAACCCTGGTGAAGATAGGCAACGGGAAGCAAGCATAAAGACAAAATAAACAAAAAGAGGAAAAGCGAAATAAAAGGAAATAAAAAACAAAAAAAACAAAAAGAGAAAAAAGAAATTAAAAGACTCTACAGAGTTCCAAAAAAAGGGAACAAAAATACAAAAGGACAAATGAGAGATAAAATTAAAACAGATAAAAAGGTAAAAAGAAGATTAAAAATATATTTAAAAAAAGGGATAAAAGAAGATAAAAGGGAAATTAAAAAGGAGATAAAAGGAGAAAAAAAAGATTAGAAAAAGATATAAAAGGAGACAAAAAACGGAAGGAAAAAGAAGAAAAAAGGAGAATAAAAATGAGACAAAAGGAGACAAAAAAGAAACAGAGAAGAAACAAAAAAGAAACAAAAAGGACATAAAGGGAGACACGGATGGAGGCAAAGAAAGAGAGAAATAGGAGACAAAGAAAGAAACAAAAGGGGAGATAAAAGGAGACAAAAAAGAGACAAAAAGCGATAAAAAGGACAAAAAGAGACAAAAATAGATTTAAAAGAGATTTTAAAAAGATTAAAAAAGAAAAAAAAAGTGTTTGGGACTGACCACCATGCAGACGCAGTCGATCATCTCGGAGGGATGGTTGGGGCACTGGCCGAACTGAAAAGGAGACTGAGCAGCAGCAGCAGCAGCAGCAGCAGCAGCAACAGCAGCAGCAGCAACAGCAGCAGCAGCAGCGGAGTTGGTGAAAAGGGGGGAAAAAACGGAAAAAAGGAAAAAGAAGAGGGAAGAGGAGACAAAGAAGAAACGCCAAGGAAAAGAATAAAAAAGAATTAAAAAAGAATACAAAAGAATAAAAAAAGAATTAAGAAGAATTAAAAAAGAATTAAAAAAGAATTAAAAAGAATAGAAAAAAGAATAAAAAGAACTAAAAAGAATAAAAAAGAATTCAAAAAGATTCAAAAATTATAAAATCAGATACGTATGAGACAACAGGGGCCAGCTACCTCTAAACCCTCCCTCTAAACCCTCTCTAAACCCTCTCTAAACCCTCTCCAAACACCCTCTAAACCCTTCTAAACCCTCCTCCTAAACTCTTCATCTAAACCCTTCTAAACCCTCCCTCAAACCCTCCCAACCCCCCTCACTCCACCGCTCCCTCAAAACCCTAGACCCCCTCGAAACCCTCGTAAAACCCTTCCCCAAACCCTCAAAAACCCTCATCAAAACCCTCTCCAAACCCTCGTAAACCCTCCGCCAGACCCCTCTAAACCCTCCCCAAACCCCCTCTCCAAACCCTCTCCAAACCCT